AATTCGGGCTGGCCCCGTGGCTCACTCAGGAGAGTGCGGCACTGGTAGCATTGAGGCCACGGGTTCGGATCCTATGTAGGTATGGCCGGTGCACTCACTAGCTGAGCATGGTGCAGACGATACCATGCTGAAGGTTGCAATCCCCTTACCGGTCAGGAAAAAAAAAAAAAAAATTATACAATATGATCAAGTGGGATTCATCCCAGGGATGCAAGGATGGTTCAACATATGAAAGTCAATAAATGTGATACATCACATCAACAAACTCAAGGACAAAGACCATATGATTATCTGAATAGATGCAGAAAAAGCATTTGACAATATTCAACATTGCTTCATAATAAAGACTCTCTTTATTTATAAATGAGGTATAGAAGGAAAATATCTCAACACAATAAAAGCCAATTATGATAAGCCCACTGCCAGTATCATTCTGAATGGAGAAAAACTGAGGGCCTTTCCCTTAAGAACAGGAACAAGACAAGGATGCCCACTCTCACCACTTCTATTTAACATAGTACTGGAGGTACTAGCCAGAGCAATCAGGCAAGAGAAAGAAATAAAAGGAATCCAGATTGGAAAAGATGAAGTCAAACTTTATCTATCTGCAAATGACATGATACTATATATAGAAAAACCTAAAGACTCTATCAAAAAAACTCCTAGAGCTGGTTAATAACTTCAGTAACATTGCAGGATACAAAATAAATGCCCCCAAATCAGTTGCATTTATATAGTCAAATAATGAACTAACAAAAAGAGAAATAAAGAAAGTAAGCCCATTTACAATTGTCACGAAAAAAATAAAATACCTAGGGATCAATTTAACCAAGGATGTGAAAGACCTTTACAATGAGAACTACAAACCACTTCCGAAAGAAATTAAAGGCACAAAAAGATGGAAAGATATTCTATACTCTTGGATTGGAAGAATTAACATTGTGAAAATGTCTATACATCCAAAGCAATCTACAGACTCAACGCAGTCCCCATCAAAATACCAATGACATTCTTCATAGAAATGGAAAAAACAACCTTACCTTTCATATGGAAAAACAAAAGACCCCGAATAGCCAAAGCAATCCTGAGCAAAAAAAATAAAGCCAGAGGCATAACTCTACCTGACTTCAAATTATACTACAAAGCTATTATAACCAAAACAGCATCATACTGGTATAAAAATAGACATTCAGACCAGTGGAGTAGAACTGAGAACCCAGAAATCACCCCTCAGGCCTACAACCACCTGATATTAGACAAAGGCAACAAAAATCTACAACGGGGAAAAGACTGCCTCTTCAACAAGTGGTGCTGGGAAAACTGGATATCTACATGCAGAGGAATGAAACTAGATATGCATCTCTCATCATACACTAAAATCAACTCAAAATAGATTAAAGACCTAAGTATAAGTCCTGAAACTGTAAAATTACCAAGGGAAAATATAGGTGCAACACTTCGGCAACTAGGACTGGGGACAGGCTTTATGAGCACGAGTCTGAAAGCACAAGCAGCCAAAGAAAATATAAACAAATGGGACTATATCAAACTAAAAAGCTTCTGCACAGCAAAGGAAACAATCGACAGAGTGAAATGACAACCTACAGAGTGGGAGAAAATTTCTGCTAACTATGCATCCAATAAGGGATTAATATCCAAAATATATATAGAACTCAAGCAATTATACAGTAAAAAAGCAAATAACCCAATTAAAAAATGGGCAAAGGAGCTGAACAGACATTTTTCAAAGGAAGACATACAAATGGCCAACAGGTACATGAAAAAAATGCTCAACATCACTAGTCATCAGAGAAATGCAAATTAAAACTACATTCAGATACCACTTCATCCCAGTTAGATTGGCTATTGTCCTTTAAGAAAGGACAAGACAAGGTTGAAGATGAAGCCCTCAGCAGCAGCAGACTATCCACATCAATTTGTGAGAAAAAAATTAACCTTGTTTGTGCCTTAATTGGACAGGACTGACAACTAGCAGCAAAAACAATAGCCAGCATTATAGATGTCTCAATTGGTTCAGTTTACACAATTGTGACTGAAAAACTACAGTTGAATAAACTTTCCATTCGATAAGTGCCAAACTGTTGTGCCCAGATCAGCTACAGACAAGAGCAGAACTTTCAATGGAAATTTTCAACAAGTGGGATAAGATCCTGAAGCATTTCTTTGAAGAATTATATAACAGGAGATGATACATGGCTTTACCTGTACCATTCTGAAGACAAAGCACAATCAAAGCAATGGCTACCAAGAGGTGGAAGTGGTCCAGTCCAAGCAAAAGTGGACCAGTCATGTCAACAGTTTTTTGTGATGCTCAAGGCATTTTGCTTGCTGACTTTCTATAGGGCCAAAAGAACAATGACATCTGCTTCTTATGAGACAGTTTAGAGAAAGTTAGCCAAAGCTTTAGAAAAAAAAAGCCCAGGAATGCTTTACCAGAGTCCCTTACCACAACACTCCTGCTCATTCCCCTCATCAAATAAGGGCAAGTTCATGAGCATTTCCATGGGAAATCATTAGGCACACACCTTACAGTCCTGATTTGGCTCCTCCTGACTTCTTCTTGTTTCCTAATCTTAAAAATCTTTAAAATGCACCCATTTTTCTTCAGTTAAGAATGTAAAAAAGACTGCATTAACATGGTTACATTGCCAGGACCCTCAGTTTTTTAGGGATGGACTAAATGGCTTGTGTCATCACTTACAAAAGTATCATTTTTTTCCCCCTTTTTTTGGTGGCTGGCTGGTACAGGAATCCAAACCTTGACCTTGGTGTTAAAACACTGTACTCTAACCAACTGAGTTAACTATGTAGCCCTCAAAAGAATCCTGAACTTGGGCTGGCCCGGTGGTGCACTGGAGAGTGTGCCGCTTGGGAGTGCGGCGGCGCTCCCACCGAGGGTTCAGATCCCATGTGGAGACCGGTTCCCGCTCACTGGCTGAGCGTGGTGCGGGCGCAACACCGAGGGTTGTGATCCTGTTGCCGGTCCCCGGTGCGGGCGCGACACCGAGGGTTGCGATCCCGTTACCGGTCAGTAAAAAAGACAAAAAGGAAAAAAAAAAAGAATCCTGAACTTGATAAGGCTTATGTTAAGAAATAGTTTATATTTTTTATTTTTATCTTTTAATTCCATTTTTCCAGGACCCTTTTGAAGTCCCCTCATAGATTGGGAATTAGCCACTATCAAATGTTAATCAATTAGCAATACAAACAATATAAGTCAAACTGTAACGTAATTTGGTAAGAAAAAACATTTATCAAAGCTATTTTATTTTATTTTTATTTATTTATTTTTTAAAAAGATGACCGGTAAGGGGATCTCAACCCTTGGCTTGGTGTTGTCAACACCATGCTCAGCCAGTGAGCCAACCGGCCATCCCTATATAGGATCCAAACCTGTGGCCTTGGTGTTATCAGCACCGCACTCTACTGAGTGAGCCACGGGCCGGCCTTATCAAAGCTATTTTTAAACACAAGTAAGAAAACACATTTTATACAAGAAGGATAAATATGTTTTCTAAAATCAGCTGCAAGTATCTGCTATTCAAGTTTCTACAAACTAAATGTTTTCATATTGATTTCCATTAAAAATTTGAGCTATTTTGGACAAGAATGGAATATCAACCTTGAAATACATGGCCAACATTAACAGGAAAAAATCTTTATAAGATATTATCATCTCTAAAGTTCATGCTTCAAGTGGAAACAATATTACCCTAGAATCAGGGACTAGATCAGTAAAAGGCAATTATGCCTATGTGTGATCTGGATTTTTAAATTTATCTCTAATTCAGCAAAAATAAAATCCTGGTCTTTTGCCTATTCTTATTTAAAAGGATTCCTCTTGTTTAGTATCTCATGTTATAAACAGCAAGAGTTTTAAAAAGCTATGAGTATTGAAGTTTCATTTGAGGATCTTTTTATTTTTGTTTGAAAAATCTATGTCTTTCCTTTGAGCAAGGTTCATGTCTAATATTTTCCACTGACTGTTGAAATTTTGCCCAACAGCTATAGTCAGCCCTCCATATCCATGGGTTGGGGGAAAAATGGATGGTTACGTTGTACTGAACATGTACAGACTTTTTTCCTTGTCATTACTCCCTAAACAATATGGTAATAACAACTATTTACATAGCATTTATATTGTATTAGGTATTAAAAATAATCTAGAGATGTTTTAAAGTATATGGGAAAATGTATGGAGGTTATACAAATACTATAACATTTTATACAAGGGACTTGAGCATCTGTGGATTTTGGTATTCCTGGAGGTCCTGGAACCAATCCCCCATATATACGTTCTGACAACAACATTTATTTCAAACTCTCACTGGTATCAAATGTAAAAGGGAAAAAACACCAAATCTCTTCACCATGTACTATTATATTCACTATATATTACAGTTCCATATGCTGAAGATGCTTCTAATTATTAACTACATGTAACTACTTAAGGGACAAAGGACCAGAATTTTTTTTTCAAACAATGTTCATGTCAACTCAAAACTTTCCTGGGATAATGTAGGAAAATCTAGAATTGGAAATCTGAGCTTTTTTGGGTGGGCTTTACTTCTATACTTGCTACTTAATTGCTGTGTAACTTGGGAAAATGGCTATGCACCTGCTTCTTCATCGGTAAAATGGGGATAATAATGCCATTCTACAAGGCATTTTTTTGGCGGGGGGGTTGCTACAGAGCACACTAGCCCCATTCTCCCCACCTCCCCACCACAGGCCAATGCTAGACTAGCAGCCCAATCCCCCACCCCACACCAAGCATCTAGTGTTCTTTTTGGGTTTAAATAATAGATATGACCCTGCTCTAGAAAATTTTAAAGTACATAAGTACAAAAATTTCCTTTTTCAGAGGCTTTCAACCTTTAATTTTTTTCAAAACCACAGAACTGACCTATCTTTGATTAAAATGCAACTGCTCAATTTAGGCAAGGGATAGCTCCTCACAATAAATAATAAATTCATACTCTGTGTGTGGTCTGACAGTAGAGACACTTGCTGAACTGGTACTGGGTTCTTCAGCAATTCCTCCACCATCCAAAAACATAGTGACTGCCATCTCCAGATTATTGTTGCAGGCTTCAAGCATATGTTTTCCTACACTTTCACTTGCACCTGAAATAGCAAAAAGATAGGGGGAAAAAAAGTTAAAAAAAGACCCCTTACATTTAGTTCATATTAGAATACAGAATTTCCAAGCAAATTAATGGTACCTATGCCGACCGCAGAAGGAAAAAACATTAATAGTACCTTTTCCCTTTTAGAATGAATAACCTTTTCTTATTTTGAACTTGTTTACTTCTACCCACACTGTTGGCTGGTTGGTGTGAAATATACAGAGCTAGAAAAGAATGTAGCAGCATTAAAATAGTAGTCTTCCTTCATAATAAAACAAAAACTAAATAAAGCATTTATTTACTGTTTCCTTAAATGATCCAAGTATATATTTGTTAATAAATTGAAAAAGATAAAGAAAAATGAAAGATTATATTCTACAACATTAGAAATGCTTTCTGTTAGAAAGAATTCATTTCAGTTAGCATTTCTGTTAAAAGAAAGCATTTCAGTTAGCATTCCTGTTAAAAAGAAAACATTCTTAATACCAATGAGAGAAAAGTGAGATGGGATATTTTTGTCTATGAATAAGTCAAAATCTGGTAAGAAATGCCAATTTTCATCATTTAAAACCGGCCCTATCACAGACTTGCTCATTTGTAAATAAAGACCAGTATAGTCTGTTAGATGAAATGTAAATTGGTAAAGTCCTTGAAGAAAACAATTTTACATTTACCAAAAAACAAAAATACTCATTCTTTTTTTTTTTTTGACTCGGTAATTTTGGGCTTCTAGTCAAAAGGAATAAATCTACATCAAATAATACATGCATAAACACATTCTTGTCCAGCGCGGCTTCAGTTAATACTGAAAAACTGGGCCGGCCTGGTGGCGCACTGCTACAGTGTGCCGCTTGGGAGCGCGGCGGCGCTCCCGTCGAGGGTTCGGATCCCACATACAGACCGGCCGCTCACCGGCTGAGCAAGGTGCGGGCGCAACACCGAGGGTTGCGATCCCGTTGCCGGTCCCGGTCTGGTACGGGCGCGACACTGAGGGTTGCGATCCGTTGCCGGTCACGAAAAAAAAAAAAGACAAAAAGGAAAAAAAAAATACTGAAAAACTGGAAGGCTAACTGGTTAGCTGAGTTGGTTAGAGCGTGGTGCTGATAACACCAAGGTCCAGGTTTTGATCCCTGTACCGGCCAGCCACCAAAAAAGAAAAGAAAAGAGAAAAATTAGAAACAACATAAATGTCCAATAATAGCAGAATGTAAACTGTAGTATCTATCTGATGGAACATTTTGTGGCCACTAAAAAGCATCTATGGCTTTCCATTTAGGATGATTTTTCTTCTATGTGAATTCCATCCCTTAGAATCTCCTTCTGTTGGCAGTAAATGCTCTTCTAAGTTTTTTTCTGAAAATGTCTATTTGCTGTCATTCCTGAAAGACAGTTTACTGGGTATGACATTTGAAGGCTGACAGCTATTTTCTCTCAGTACATTAAAGACAGCATTCCAATGTTCTCTGGCTTCTGTTGTTACTGTTGGGAAATCAGTTGCCAGACTAAAAAAACATTTTTATAACAATCAGTTGTTTCTCTCTAGTTATTTTTAAGATCTCTGTCTTTCACCTTCTGCAGTTTCACTCTGATTTGTTGTGGATGATTTTATTTATCCTCCTTGGGATTCACTGGACTTCCACCACCTGAGGATTATCTTTCATCAATTCTAAGAAATTCTCAGCCATTTCTATTTGACCACTATCTCACCCATCCATTCATACTTATTTCCTTCTGGAATGTCAATTAGATGCATGTTAAAACTTTTCACTCTAACCTTTGTGTCTCGACCTTTTTTTTCATGTTTATCATCTCTTTATCTCTCTATGTTGCATTTTGGGTAATATCTTCAATGCTATCTTCCAGTTCACACAATCTCTTTAGCTGTGCCAATCTGTTTCTTTACCTGTTCACTGAACTTTTAATTTCATTGAATTTTTTATTACTAGAAGTTATGTTTTTATTTCCTCATCTGCTTGGTCATGTTATGGAGACCCTTAATTCATACTCCTATTTCAATCTTTCATTTCTTCAAACATAAATAAAACTTCTTGGAATTACTAAGACAAAACATAAACTTTCTGCAGTCTCTATGGGTCACTGTCTCATTTCTGCTGGCTCTTGCTCACTGTCCTATGGAGACCACTATACATACTTTCCTGACTTTTAAGTTTTTCAAGACCACATAGGAAATATGACTCTAACAATCCTTGTTATAAACTCTCAGAGAAGATATCTATCCCCATACACCACCCCCCAACTCCCACCAAGGGTGAAACATCAAAGTTTCAGCTTCATTAAAAAAAAAAAAAAAGTCTCAGATTCATGAAGAAGAGGGACCTCCTCTCCTTAGGAAAACCCCAGACTTTGTTTCCTGTATCCTAGGAGGCCATCAAAAAGGAAGTTCAAAGCCATCCAGTTTGGACAGATTCCACCATGCTGAAGCCTTGCTTTAAAGCTAGTTAACAAATGCATTACCAATTTCATTTCATTTTTAGCCTCTTGCCAGTCAAATGATGCACTTTAAAAGATTTTTTTAAATACAGATTTACTCAGCATTTTTTCCCGCAGTAGGATTATCCATAATATCTCTACACTTTAGCCTTACAGTGAGAAATGCAAGTGCTGACTCGAATTATCTCTCATTTGTTTATTCTTCTCTACTACTATTACTACCTCTAAAGCTTAGATCAAGTCCTTAATACTTTTTACCTGGATTTCTACAATGAGCTCCTAACTGATCACCATTCCATCTTCTACCTTGCTGCTGACAGTATGTTCCAAAATACAAGTCTGATTAATTAGACTTGTTTAAAATTCCTTAATGTCTCTCTCCTGACACCTACAGTATAAATTCCAAAGTCTTTATGATTTAGAAAGTCCTTTGTGATCGGCCTTAGCTTATTTCTCTGGCTTTGCTTCTCCTCTTCCACATCCTATACAATTTACTACAGTCAAACAAAATTCATGTTTGGAATGACCTTATCTTCCTCATCTCCCCTTCACAAAGTTCATGCATGCTGAGAATCCAGAAGTGGTACTTTGTCAATTTGTGTGCTAACCTACCTACCATTCTCATCCCTGTGATACTGTTCTATTAAATCCATAGATATACTACTAAGCAGTAAATGTTGGTTTATTTTCTGGCTCCCCTGAAAGAGTAGAAGCTTCCTGAACACAGGGATTGGTTTTCTTGCCTTGGTATCCCAAACACCTAGCATCATGTTTGTTTGCATATTTTTTTTTTAATAAATTTTGTTTTATTTTAAAAAGATGACCTGTAAGGGGATCTTAACCTTGACTTGGTGTTGTCAGCACCACGCTCTCCCAAGTGAGCTAACCAGCCTTCCATATAAAGGGATCTGAACCCATGGCCTTGGTGTTATCAGCACCACACTCTCCCAAGTGAGCCACAGGCTGGCCCTATCACATGCCAATTTAAAAAGAGTTATATCTCGAACAATGTAAGAAGTGAAAATAACATGCTCCAAGAAACTATCAGATGACATCAGTAGCTATAGCTTTTTCAGATAGCTGACAAATACATATCTAAGATGCAAATGAAAAAACTGAATAAAGTTATTTCATGAAATATGTAGAAAAATGCAGTGATATGCAATACTGTGTGATGTTAAATCAATAAATATTACCCCCAAAAAACTGATTTCACTTACGTCTCTAGAAATTTACATATTTTGTTAGCAAAAAACCTTTCTTTGTACCACCTCATACCCATTAGGATGGCTACTATAAAAAAATAAATAAATAAAAATAAGTGTTGGTGAGGATATGGAAAAACTGGTACCCTTGTGCACTGTTGATGGGAATGTAAAATGATACATCTGCTGTGGAAAATAGCATGGCAGTTCCTCAAAAAATTAAAAATAGAATTGCCATTTGATCCAGTAATTATCTTCTGGGGATATACCCAAAAGAATTGAAAGCAGGGTTTTGAAGAGATATTTGCACACTCATTTTCATAGCAATCTTATTCACAATAGCTAAAACATGGAAGCAACCTAAGTGTCCATCAACAGAGGAATGGATAAATAAAATGTGGTATATACATACAATGGAATATCATGCACCCTTAAAAAGGAAGGAAATTCTGATGTATGCTACAACACAGATAAACCTTGAGGACACTATGTTAAGTGAAATAAGCCAGATACAAAAAGGCAGATACTATATGATTCCACTTATCTGAGTTACTTAGAGTAATCAAATCATAGAGACAGAAAATAGAATGGTGGCCGCCACAGGCTGGGGGAAGGGGAAATGAGGAATAGGGAGTTACTGTTTAATAGGCATATAGTTTGTGTTACAAGACAAAAAGAGTTGCAGAGATGGATGGTAGTAATGGTTGTACAACACTATGAATGTATTTAACACCAATTAAGTTGTACACTTAAAAATGCTTAAGATAGTAAATTTTAGTATTTCACCACAATAAAATATGAAAACAAACACCCTTTTTTGGGAATTGCAAAAATATAGAACTGCCTTTCACAAAGAGTCTACCTTGTATCTGGGTATATATGGTAGTTTAAGTTACATAGGACCGTTAAGGTTTTTTCTTTAGAAGAGCTTCACATATTACTCAAATTTGAGAAACTCTTAGATTCCTCTCTCTTCCTCAACTGTGAACATTCCATTGGTCAACCAACAAGTCCTATAGTTTTATCTAATTAAACCACTCATATTCAGTCTCTTCTATCTTAGTTCAAGCCCTCAACTTCTCTTACATAAACTACTGTATCTTTTTGCTCTTGGTCAGGCTTCCCTCTGATATACCTTCTATGCTGCAAAATAATGCAAGTTTGATTGTCTCCCTTGTTTCCACAGTTCTGTGTTGCTGATCAGAAAAGCTTTACCCCACATCAGCCAGCACCTCCCCAGCAAAAAAAGAAGTTTTAATCTCTCTTGAGCTACATACAAGATTTGGCCCTTATTTACCTCTCCTATTTTATATTTCTCTGCTCTCATTATCTCTGTACCATT